GTGGGAGAACTTGCACAATTGGTGGCTGACTAAATACTTTTTTGCCCCACTGTATATTCATGTTAAAAGTATATTTTAAACATTCAAAAAAATTTTTTTTGAAATTGATTCTAAATCCCATAAAACAAGATGTTGTATCTGCATCCAGATTTTCAGTTTGATCACCGGAACTAGGAATTTTGGCTTAAAAGGGAGCAATGGGGTCCTGCAACTGATCACCAAAATGAATATGATGATAATCTGTCAACAGATAAGAGGCTATGTGAAATGCTTGGTCCACTTAGCTCTAAAATGGGCAAGAATTTCTTAGAACTCATCAGATGTTGTCTGTTCTGATTCTCTTCCCTAGACGTATAGCTCACTCTCTGCTGGGGAACTTCAGCTTATCCGGCAAACACTGCTCATCTTTTTCCAAGACATACATATCAGGGTACGTGCATTACACATTACTTCCAGGAGCTGGAACTGTGTGGTGTGATAATGGTAAAAAGGAAATGTTTAGCATAAATGATTTCTAAGTGAAGCAGTTTTATTGACAAGTCTTGGTGTTACTTCATAGGTTTCCATTCTCTTAAAAGATAAAGTACAGAATTCCAATGGCCACTTTGTGCTGCCAACTTCAGGTTCAGTTCCTTGGGGAACAGAGATCCCTGGCCTCATCAGGTGAATATTTTGTCTTGCCTTTTTCCTTAACTATCCAGCTGGATCAGGTGCTGACCACCTGCACAAATGGATGGTGGATCTCCAGCTTCATATTGCATGCTGTTTTTGGGGGGACAATAGTGGGCTGGAGTCATGGGTAAATTTCTCAGTCCCCAAACTCTCCCAACTGTTCTGTGAGAAAAAAGACAACAGTATTTACACTTTACAATGTTACAGACTTTTTAACAATAAAGGAGATGAAATTCAGAGGATTGAGTTCAGCAGTGGAGGAAATTACGTTCTTCCGTATCGGGAAGGCTCATTTGACCTTCATGGAGACAGAGTCATTAAACTGGGAACAAACATGTAAGCCATGGTCTGTAGATTTTCATTTTGGGGCTGTCAGCAAATTTCCTATAGGCCTATTATGTACATATATCCAATGTGTTTCTAGATACAGCATCAGCCGACCTGTAGAGACAGATGTGTCAGGGGCCACCAAAAGCTTGGCATCTCGCATTAAGGTCAGTGTCTTTAATTTAGCCTCAGAAACATTTCAGTTTGTTTGTTTGCTTGTGGATCAATATCCTAAATCCCTAGATTACTAAACTGGAACAGACTTTCTGTCTAGAGGCCGTTTGTTCAGAGAGTATTCTCCAGAATTTATTTTAATTATGATTTTGTTTTTCTTTCCTTCTGTTGTGATCTGACTAAATGACTGTATACAGAAATATTGTTTTCCATGCAGGAGAACACTGCTCCCAATCCTCTTGCTAAAGAAGAGCTGAATTTGTTAGCCAGGCTGATGGGCGGGCTGGAGATCAAGAAGCCCCTTGTCAAGGAGGCTGGTTTTCGTCTGAATCTCTTTACCACTGATGAGGAGGAAGAGTATGTTATTTGGTTTTGAATAGTAATGGCAATGGTGGTGGGTCTTCCATCTATCCAGAGTTGCACTTGGCCTTTGAAATATCAGAGGCCAAACTCCTGAAGTGAGTTAGTGATAAAAACTAACTTTCAGTACACAGGGAGCAGGTAATGAATTGTATTTATGATGAATTTTTATTCTTCTCTCTCAAGACAAGCTGCCCTGACTCGTCCAGAGGAGTTATCCTACCAAGTTATCAACATCCATGCAGACCAGGTAGACATTTGTTGTTGTGTCCATTCTTCGGGGAAAAATGAGTAACATAGGATTACTTTTAACTGGGCCAACTTCAATTTGTATATGTAAGCTTTTAAGTTTCATATACCTCTTGATGTTTTTGTTCCAGTTTATAAACTTGCAAAAACATATACTATATACCCCACTGAAATAACCCACTGTATTTGCAGATGTAATCTGAAAATAATTTTTCTGTACAATAATAATTAGAAACTTCCAGGGGCCTAAATGCAGCCCAAAGCCAGCCCCTATTTGTTGTTCCTTGTGGATAACATTCAATGAAATATAGCACTGTCCCCAACCACAAGTCATAAGAGTCATTGAGAGCCCCCCACTTTCTCCATGAACTGCAGTGTGCTTTACATGGGCTGCCCAGATTAAAAGGTATGAGAAATAGAAATGATGCTATTGTGGGAGTTTACTAAGTCCACCTACCAATGAGAGGATGTGATGCTTTCCTAAATTAGCTCTCCAAGTTTTCAAGAAGGCAGGGAGACTTCCACTATCCTGATATCTGCTGGAAAACCTAGTTGGAATTTGGAAGTCCAACAAACTTCTGACCTCTCTTGCTGAAGGTTTCATTGAACTTCAGCTGTTGTTTTAGAATGCCAGGTCAGTGTGTAACAAAGCTGCCCTCATCCATGAACCCGTCTTGGAAGAGGGCACTGATCTGGCATGTCTTACTGAGACATGGTTGAGCCTGGAGGAGGGTGTTCCCCTCTCGAAATGTATTCACCCAGGTTTTGGGTTCTGCACCAGCCAAGAGCCTGTGGGGGAGGGGTGGCTGCTGTCATCCATGAATCCTTAGACTTTCAGGGGATTCGCTCTACAGATAACCAAATGTGAGGTGCTCTGGCTGAAGTTGGGGTTATGGGAACAGTTGGGATTGCTGCTGATGTACCGCCTTCTCTGCTGCCCACTGTCATCATTGTCTGAGCTCCTGGACTCTGTTGCTGGGTTGGCAATAGAGTCCCCAAAGTTGTTGGTGCTTGGAGATTTCAACTTGCCGTCCAGTAATGTTTGAGTCCAGGGAAGCTCAGGGAGTTCATGGCAATCAAACGACCCCCAAATGGTTTCAAATTTTCTTTTTTTCTAAAAGTCTGTGATATTAATATTAGTACAATATATGCATCTTGCTGGTGAATTGTATTCACTTTGCACTTTTTATTCTACACTTTTTACAAAACAGGTCTATTAAAATGATATTTTTTCTAGCAAAAAAACATGGACCTGTCCCAAGTCATGAACAGCCCTACACATACCGGAGGCCACACATTAGGTCTGGTTTTTGTCTCAGGATGATTGAGATGTGACCTGGGTTTATGTACGTTGTGATGTCTGACACAAGTACATAAGTTGAAGAATTTATGTGATGTCATAACACAATTCCCTGACAAGTTACATCCTGGGATGTTGGAAGAAGGTAGCAAACCAGTCCCTTGGTAGACTAAGGGAATGCTGTGGATGTAATGCACCTCAGTCTCAGTATTTGGCAAAGTCTCCCCTGATATTTGCAATATTTCTTGTGATTGAGATGGATAAATGTGAGCTAGATGGCACTGCTGCCCAGTATATTTACAATTGCTTAAATCATGACACACAGAAGGGGCTGGTAAATGGTTCTGCATCAGATTTGGCTCCATCCATGGCCCAGTGCTATTCAACACATTTATAAATGACCTAGGGGATGGAACGGAAGCTTATCAGATTTGTAGATATCAAGCTAGGTGATTGAAGACAAAATTGCAATTCAGATTATCTCAACTGATTTAAACATTGGACCAGTTCCAACAGGATATCCATGTGTGAGAAATATAAGGTCCTGCATCTGGCTAACTGAACATTAACAAGCAGTGCAACAGCTAAAAAGGCCAATGTAGTCTTGAACTGAATTCATGAGTGTTGCAGCCAGATCACAGTAGTCCCATGGTACTCTTCACAGGTTAGACTACACTTGGGAGTCCTGGATTCTGTTCTGGGCACTGCCTTTTAAAAAGGACACAGGGAAGTCAGGGTGAATTCAGAGAAAGCTCTTAGGATGAAAGGGGACTGGAAACAAATTTTGTGAGGAATGGTTAAGTTGTGTATCTAGCTGGCAAAAGAGAACAGAGAGCAGAGATGTCACACGATCATAGAATTAGAAAGATTCTTAGAGGTTAGCTTAAGTGCTCAGTACAGGTTTTCCTAGTTTCTCTCACAGATGACCATATAGCTGTTGTTTGAAGTTGAGAATACTGAGCTCTCTTTGAGGATAATCGTTCAGCCAACTGTGAATGCATCTAATAGTATCTTCAAGCCCATATTTTACTGAGAACATCTTGAGATTATCAAAGATATACTATGTCTACATAATTCCTCACCACAACTGTAAATAGAAGGCTACTGTGTTGGGGGGGCAGACAAAGTTTAGCGGCTTGAAATTTAAGGGAGATTAAGACTGAATTTTAGGAAGAATTTCCTAAGTATCAGTTTAATACAGTCTTATTGTGATGACTCCTGCAAATTATGCTGTGGCTTGATTTTTAAAAGCTGTTTTTTGAAATGAAATATATTGAATCCAGAGATCTTTGTTCATACCTTATTAGGGTAATACTGGATTTTCTCTACATCTTTGTTCTTACATAAATACTTAACTTGCAACATTCTTTGAAACAGGACCAACAACGAAATGAGGAGCTGGATCGCATCATGGGGGAATTTGAGGTGTCAGAACAGCACAGTGAGACGACCAGCAAGGGATGTGATTTGTTGGCAATGATGGATAAACTGTGACCCTCAGCTTTGATGCAAAGGAATGTCAGGACACACCATCTTGATGGGAACTATAGAAGAGTCTTATAGAAGAGAGCGGCTACCTAAGCTATCCATTTTGTTAGGACATGAAGTCTGGAAAGCGTTTGAGATCTGTCTGACAGCCCTTTTCTCTGACTTTTAGGGAAATGTGAGCCTAAGTGTGGGAGGATACTACTGGATAGCAATTTCATTCCTGTGCTATTAATGGCTCTGGTCGTGTGTCATGTAGTTAGCTGTAGTTAAAAAGAAAGCTCACAAATCCCCCAGATAAGTTCTGTAAATAAAAATACATGCTATGAAATAACAATTTATGTTACTGTGAAAGCCAAGTTTACAATGATATTGCAGCTATTTTCCTTTTTAGCTGCAGCTGTGAATGAGACAAGTGCTACCTCGTTTACTGCAGATTTTTAGTGCTCACTCCAGTAACAGTTTTTGCAATGAAAACCTGAGTAAGAAAGTTACTGCTCTCCCAGAACTGACTCTGACATACTTAGATTTAAATCTCATCTTGGTATCATATAGTTGGTTAGAGTTTATATAACATATGAAAGCAAAACTAAAATTATATTAAGGCCCAGTAACAAACTGTTCAGGGAAAGCCTTTTGTTTTTTCAGCTGCTGTACACTGGGCATTGCAAGCGAATGAGGCTGTGGTTTTGGTTTGAGCTGTATTTGTGTCTTTGGTTTTTCCCCCCATAGGATTATCAATCCCAAAGATGATCAGTAATCCTGCAACAAAAAACAAATAAGCAAAATCAAACCGGCCATTCTGAGAGGAGCCCCCCGCACCCCACTCCAAATTCAGGAGAGTGACCCGTGGTTGCTTTTCTTGCCAGTAGATGACACTGGGTGGAAGGAAGGGGAGGGCAGGGAATCCGCCGACCGTTGCCCTGACACTGACCCACATTAAAAACCAAGGGCCGCTACACTGCCCACCCTCTTGGGTGAGGTGCAGTACAGCTCAGTGCAATTTACACAAACGTACGTGCTACTTCGAGGACAGGAGGAAAGCCCATTAACGCGGCCACCCCGCCGGGGCGCAAAGACCCTCCCTCCAACCTCGCTCTGCCAAGGGCTCGTCCTCAGCCCCCCCCCCGTTAACGCGGCTCGAAAGTGGCTTTAGGCGTCCCAGTGCGAAGCAGCGTTTCCGAGGCATGTTGGCGTAAGCGTTTCGCGCAGACAGTCCACGAGGAGGTGGGGCGGTCAGGTCTGGCTATCCGCTTGAAGCCGCCTGGGCCAGCGTTCTGCCTGTTCTGCAGCGCCGCTGAGCTGCAAAAGACTCGAAGGCAGCTTCTGCAGTCGCTCCTGAAGCTGC